CCGGCGGCTGGAGGCGCGTCCATCCGCCTGGCTCGCGCCAGCCGGGGCCTCGGCGTGGTGACCCGGGGCGTCGCGTCCCGGCCGGCGCGTTCCGACGGCCGCTGCTGGGAGAGGGTGGAGGCCGCCAAGGATGAGACTGGTCGCGCCGCCTAGGAAGTGGGTGCATCGTCCCCTCTGGTCTTGCTCCTGCTGGTGGTGACACGACCTGGACCTGGCAGCGTGTGGCGGGCGACTTGTAAACCAGAGTTGCCTCTGTTTGCCAGCTTTCTGCAAGGCCATGTGTTCCAGTTCCTGAAGACGAGCGGAAGACCAGCAGTTGAGGCGACATTTTGGATACAAGGTGTGAGGTTGCACTCCTTCAAAACTTTATTTGATCAGGCGCCTCAATCGAATGATTTTTTTAAATCTTATTTTGATCCACTAACATAGCATATGTGAGAGTTTAGTACGTGGGGGAGGTGGGGTCTTCTAACGATAACTTGTAGTGGCATCTGTGGTCTTTTGTCCCAGCTACTCACACCTGTTTATGGAAGCAGTACGCCTGTTTATTTTGGAGGCTCCAACCGCACTGCCTCACCCTTTAGCCCATTTGCTTCAGGTCAACAGCTACTCTCACTGGGTGACCCAAGACTCAGGTCTCACCACTGGAGGTGTTGTGTCCTTCTGGTGGCTGGGATTAGTTTACAGAGAAGTATGTGACCAAGCCTGGCCAATCAGAGACAAAAAGGCACCGTTCTAGGACTTTTTGGCCACCCCCTCCCACCCGCACTTAGGGAAGTGGACTCTCTTCTATGGGACTTTGCAGAATGATGTGTGAGCTTGGAAATTCTTGTGTCAGCATATGAAGTTTGAGAATGAAGCTAATACTCAGGGAGGCATGCCTGGGAGTTGGAGAAAAGTTAAACCCAGATGGGGATGTTTGAGTTCGGAATCCAGCTGTGGCTGAAACAAGATCTTACCTTGTTTTTCAGTTTTCAAATATGAATCAGTATTTTGCTTTGAAGCATCTTGAGTTGAAATTTTTGTCCATTGGAATTGAAAGACCCAAATAAATGATACAGGAATTAAACATTTTGGCCATTTATTAACTTTATGAGGGCATTTGGATATTGTAGAGCAAGACCTTTGGTTAGATCCCAATGCCCTGAAAGAGTTAGTTTGGAATTTCAAAAAGCTGGGAAAGTTGTATATCCTTCTTGATCTACATGACAGAGAGGTTACAGAAGTGTCTGAATCTATTACTCCTTCTGGAAGCCTACAAAAATGTCAAGATGGTAAAATTCTTCGACCAAGTGACATGTATTAGATTGGTTTATTATTTTTTTAATTGGTGCCCCTCCCTTTTCCTTTCAGGAATTTTAGGAACCTCGATTTATTTTTTTACACTCCTTTCAAG